CAGGACGGTGCCAGCCCAGCGCTGCTGCAGCCGCTTCCCCTGCCTGTCCCTGCCTGAAGCTCGGGCAACGCTCCAGCTGCACCCGAGGGCTCCTCAGCCCATAACCATGCGCTTGCTGGTCCCCACGCCCTGCGCACAGGAGTAGTGCTGGCGCGGCCCGTGTGCCCGGGGGTGCTGACCTGCCTCCTCCCCTCTACTCGCGGCAGGAGTGATCGGTTTGCAGCTCATCAATGGGAAGAACGAGTCAGCCCACATCAGTGACGCTGTGGCGGTGGTGGCCCAGGCCGTGCACGACTTGTTTGAGAAGGAGAATATCACAGACCCGCCACGGGGCTGCGTGGGCAACACCAACATCTGGAAGACAGGACCCCTTTTCAAGAGGTATTTGGGAAAGGGTCCTGCTGGAGGGAGCAGACAGCCTGCTGGGGGAGAACTGGAAAAGATGGAGCATGCAGGAAAGATGCAGGAGGACAAGATGGTAGCCTTGTTCAGAGTATCTGACGCTAAAGCTTTGGGGCGTGTGGCACAGGACTGCATGATTCGGATGTGAGGGCTGCATCTGTCCTAGAACACTAGTCAAGTCACTGGCCCCCAGTTTGTCCAGGCTGTTTAGGCACAATCCTGGTGCCTGGCACCAATTCAGTACAAGCCAGCCCATGCTCTCCTGGGCAATGCTTGGGCAGTTGGGATCAGTGTGGGCAGGGAACGACTCTAGAAGGAAGAGATCTGGGGGCCATAATCTCCTCCAGTCTGGATCTTAATTCCATGGGTGGAAGAGGAGAGAAAGGGTGTTTTCTGCCAAATCAGAGTAAGGGGATATTTCTGCCAAATTGGAGCTCAGCGCTGCACACATGTTTCTTGCTGAGTATTTCAGGGCTGCAGCATGGGTCAGCATGCTGCAAGCCAGACGCAGGGGCAAGAGATCTCCATGCACGGGACAGGCTACCCTCTGCAGCAGCAAATACTGGTGCTGTGTTTTTGGGTGGTGGGGTCTCAGCAGATCAGAGCATGCGTGTGTTGGATCTTGCTGCCATGGGCAGTGTGATAGGCAGGTGCTGCATGCACTTCCCAGAACCCAGCCTTTGTGCTGCGTGGGGTTTTGTGCTGCATCACTGCAGATTCTGTAGCCACAAGGGCCTCTTCTGCAGGCTGGATCCTGGTAAAGTGGCTGTTCCCTTTGCAGCGTGGCTCCCTGTGTGGGAGGGCTGCTCCCCGTAGCGTGCAACCTGGCACCAGGGCGTTGCTTTTGGCAGTGGGATCTTGTGCTAGGGGTTGCTTGCTGCAGACAAGGCCATGGTGTCTGTGGGATGCCCTTTCTGTAGCTCTGTTGAGCATGGGACCTGCAAAGCCTGAAGGTTATTTTAGAAAAATTTCCGGCATCCTCTGCAGCGACACAATCTTTGGCATGAGCTATTCGAAGTTGTTCTCTATGGTGCACTGCAGGTGGCTCGGGCAATTCTTCTGTGTGTTCACTATTGTCTTTCCAGGGTTTGGGGGAGCTGGTTGTCCCCTTGGTGATGTATGTGCATGCCTGGGACACTGCCCAGGCTGTGATGGGCTGGTGCCAGACAGAAGCATCACAAGCGGTGGTGTGGACACAGCTCCCAAGGGACCCCCAGAGGAAGGTGTCCTTGGGTGCTGTGGGACAGATCATTCCTTGAAGGAATGGGACTGATCTGGTGGAAAACAAGGGGCAATGACAACAGATATGGCAGTGCAACATTTGCAACACTGACTTCATCCACCGGTAGGGGATGACCACAGACTATAGGTAGCCTTGACTGGACTTCTATAGAGTAGTGGACATATGGCAGGCAACTGAGAGAAAACATTTGCCTTTCTGTTGCCTTCTTAGGTGTCCCAGTGGCCACAGCAGGTTTTCTAGGTTGGCCCCACTGTGTTTCTCTCCATAGGGTGTTGATGTCCTCCAAGTACTCAGAGGGCGTCACCGGGCGGGTGGAGTTCAATGAGGATGGAGACAGGAAGTTTGCCAACTATAGCATCATGAACCTGCAGAATCGGAAACTGGTCCAAGTTGGGATTTACAATGGCAGCCATGTACGTACGGGCCCGGACAGGTTGGGTAGGAGGGGTGTGTGTCCTGGGGTGTCTACCTATGGCCTCATGTCTACCTCCTTCCTCTGCGATTGATCACAGGTCTTAACCAATGACCGGAAGATTATTTGGCCAGGGGGAGAAACTGAGAAACCTCAAGGCTATCAGATGTCGACCAAGTTGAAGGTAACAGCAAATGGCATTAGGGGGTGGCAGTTCTCCTCAGCTCTCTGCGTGCAGGGCTGTGACTTTATCAGCCTCCTACTTCCACTGCTGTCTCTGCAGCTGTCAGCAGCATCTGCAAACCCAGGGCATCTGCTGTCTCTGAGAGGTTTTAGCAGAACAACCTAAGTTGTTCTAAGAAGTACCTAAAAGTACCTAAGAAGGTACTGGAGAGTGTTCAGAGCTAAAGCACAACTTCTAGCTGAAGACAAACTAGATAGGGTGTCAGGCATCCTTTGGAAAGAGACGGCTGGAAAGGGGATATGAGAGAGAACAGCAGAGAAAGGATGGAAGGATAAGGTGTTCACCATTCCTCATGGCTTGGGAGCCAGAGGACAGCCAGCACAATATTTCCTATACAAGAATGGGCTCCTTTGGCCAAGGCATAGTTCAGTTCTGGAGCCTGCTGCTGCTAGACAGTGCAGAGGCCAGAAGGAAACAGGTTCAACAGGAGATTAAACAAGCTAGTGGAGAGTGAGTGGACTAGTAGCTGCAATGCTGGGCTCAGGAAATCCCTGAAGAGCTGATGGCCAGAAGCTGGAGGTGACACTGGGTGAAGGTCCCTCCACTCTTGCTTTGCTTCTCATGCCTTTCCCTTAAATGTAGCCCAGCAGCCACTTTAGTGACTGGATCCTGGACAGGCTGGTCTTGCCAGTACAACCAGTCATTTGTCCTACCGTCCAGGCAAGTGAGCCCTTATTCCTGCAGCGGTAGTGCAGGTGTGTTGGGATGCTACTTTACTGAAAAGGTCCAGGATAGGACTGAAATATCTGCATTAGCTTGAGGCAGTGTGACAGACTCTAGAGCACTATTCAGGGCACTAACCTGGGCTATGCAGTGGCTCCCCGCAGCCTGCTGTTAGGGAGAGGGATGTGAAAGGCTTTGAGACCAAGGTGGAAGTGCCACATGAAGGAGGATGCTGATATGGCTGTTCCCCATCTTGGGGGCAGGGAAAGCAAATGTTCCCCGTGCCCAAGCAGGTCCTGCTGTGCTGAGATGGCAGCTGAGGAGGGCTCTGTGGTATTTGGCCATGCTTGCATGGAGAGGGCAGCCCAGCTCCCCACCCAGGGAAACACAGCTCTGGAAAGGAATGGAGACAAGTCGGTGTTTGTGCTTCGCCTCACAGATTGTGACGATTCACCAAGAGCCCTTTGTGTATGTGAAGCCCACACAAGCAGATGGGACATGCAGGGAAGAATTCACCATCAATGGAGATCCTGTAAAAAAGGTCTTTTGCACTGGACCCAACGAAACCATCCCAGGTAACTCTGGTGGTGAGCACAGTGGCTCCTCCAGCTCACCCAGCTGATGAAGACTCCCGTCCCAAGAAGGGGTCCCCAGGGAGGGTGCTTAGTCACACAGGAGGCTCAGAGGATGAGGAGCAGAAATGTGACAGCACGTTCAGCCCCTAAACACCCCCGTCAGCTCAGCCCTACAGTAATGCTGTGCAGTAACTGGGCACTGGGATTCAGGTTTTTGACCCCAATGGATGACTTTCACACTGTCTCTCTTCTGGGTGGGCTCCAGGGCCGTTCTGGGGGATCCCATGTTTCCATCTCCTGACATGCTCCAATTCTCTTTGCTTGATCTCAAGCAGAAGCGAGAACCCCAAGGCACATTAGCACCTGCTGCATTGGTGCTACCACCATCAGTTTCAAACCATTTTATTACCAAAAACCTGTTTCAGGATTAGGAGTGAGCACCTGGTGGGGAGTGTGAGCTGCTTAGCAATGCCAGGCTTGCCCAAATCCACCTGAAGCCCATCCCCTTGGCTCATCACACTTTCCTGTGCACAGCTGCCCCCCAGCCCCACATTGTGTCCTGGGCTGTGTTCAACCTGATGTGTTCAACCTGGTGGGTTCATGTTAGCACTCCTCCAGCACAGCCTGCATGTACCAAGCCCCCTCCGTCCCCTGCAGTGGGTCGGTAGCACCAACTCTCAGCCCACCTCACTGGGACATAGCAAATGAATGAGGCCCCTTTGCCCCCACCTTGCCAGCACCCATAGGTGATGAGGCAGTGGGCGAGGGTGGTCAAGGGGGATGGCCCTACCTGAATAACATGATTACATCTCATATGAAACCAGGCTGCTCTTGCTGGGCGCAGCCATGCATCCTGCATGGGGTCACTGGCCAAGGGGTGCCTCCAGTTTTCCCCACCATTTTCTCCCACCCGCAGGCCGCCCCACCGTGGCACTGTGCTGCTATGGCTTCTGCATCGACCTGCTCATCCGGCTGGCAGGGGTGATGAACTTCACCTACGAGGTTCACCTGGTGGCTGATGGTAAATTTGGTACCCAAGAGCGGGTGAGTCTGAGCAGCCTGTGATATCTCTTTGCCTGTTTCGTGTGTTGAAACACCCCCAGGCCCTTCCGGGGGGCAGGGGTGGGGAGGAGGGCAGTGCAGGGCATCTGCCACGTGTGCAGGGGTCCTGGCTGGAGGGCAAGTGTCAGGGCTGATCCTGCGCGGGCTCTCTGGCAGGTTAACAACAGCAACAAGAAGGAGTGGAACGGGATGATGGGGGAGCTGCTGAGCGGCCAGGCGGACATGATTGTGGCTCCTCTCACCATCAACAACGAGCGGGCACAGTACATCGAGTTCTCCAAGCCCTTCAAGTACCAGGGCCTCACCATCCTTGTGAAGAAGGTACGGGCTGAGCTGGGATGTTTTGTAGAACAGGAGAGGTGCCTCCTGCTCCCCAGCTTGCAGACACGTGCCATGCCTGCACCATGCCCAACTGCCCCAGCTGCTGCCCGCTGCTCACCCCAGGGCCGCCACGGCAAATCCCAGCCTTTGCTGTGGGATGCCAGCCTCCAGGTTGTTGGTTTTAATGCTGGGTCTTGTCTCAGCCACCCTGAGCCTTCCTGTGTGGCAGAGCAGGAGGAGCTCAGAGCAGGACGGGGCCCTTGTGAGTCCAGCGGGGCGGGCAGGGTGCAGGCGTGATGGGTGCCAGCGCTGTTCACCTCTCTCCTGTGTGCTAGGAAATCCCCCGCAGCACCTTGGACTCGTTCATGCAGCCCTTCCAGAGCACACTTTGGCTGCTGGTGGGGCTGTCTGTGCATGTGGTGGCAGTGATGTTGTACCTCTTAGACCGATTCAGGTGAGTGCGCTTTGGGTCATCCAAGGACTGGAGGGGACAGGGAGGTGCTCCTGGGAACCGTCCCCTCCAGTCCCCACAGTGTCTTGCCCAGGCACAGCCCTGCAGCCCTTCAGGAGGCTCTCACAGGAGCTACACTCTCTGCCCCACCAGCTCTGGGCTCCCGGCCTCTCTGGCTGCTGCTAAGCTGAGAGATACGGATATGGGGTACCCAGTACCTGGAAATGTGGGAACATACCCTCAGACAAGGTGCCATGCTGATGCCTGACCAAGGGGACCATCAGCTCCTGTCCCCACCTCAGCCCCGTGCCCAGAGGCTTTTGCAGTGAGCCCGTGTTGCGGTGGGAGAGGCTCGAGCTGGCTAGGGTCAGAGGAACTTTCTGGCCCAGGGAGAAGCGTGATGGCACCAGTACCAGTGTGAGCCGGGCAGAGCTGCAGATCAGCAGAGGGGCCATGCAAGGCAGTGGGACATGAGGGGTGAAGAGCTGTTTGGGGCATAGGCACAGTCTGCAGGGATGAGTGATGTAGGGCTGCATCAGGACATTTAGGGCACAGCGGAGAGCCCTGGGAAGCAGGACAAGGGGTATGAGAAGAGCTCTCTGTCTTGTTTTCCAGCCCGTTTGGCCGATTCAAAGTGAACAGCGAGGAGGAGGAGGAAGATGCCCTGACCCTCTCCTCAGCCATGTGGTTCTCCTGGGGAGTCCTGTTGAACTCCGGCATCGGAGAAGGTGTGTCACAGCACACAGTGGGACTGCTCTGCCCTGTGTCCCCATCGCTGAGCTGTGCGGGGACACCAGGCTGGGGGAGAAGCCCATGCCCTCTTCCAATGCCTCACTCTGTGGCAGGGCTCATGCCCTGGGGGGACCTCATCTTCTGAGCCTTCCCTGGAGCAGGCTGGTAGGAAATACGGTGATGCTGGGGGTGGCACACTTGTGTGGACCATCCTGCCACCCCTCACCATCAGTGATGGGAAACAGGTTTTTCCTGGGGCTGTTTCTCCTGTCCAGGGTTACCCATCCACTCAGGGTGAGACACATCATGCCCTGGAAGGAGCTGGGTTTTTCCTGGTTTGGGCAACGCAGAAGCTCCTCGCACAGTTGTCAGCAGAGCAGATAGAGGGTGCACATCTGCAGCTGCCACAGGTCTCATGTGGGATGGACGCAGCTTTGGCGACCAAGTCAAGCCCTTGTCGTGCCAGTCTGATCTCGCCTCTCTCCCTCCAGGTGCTCCCCGGAGTTTCTCTGCCCGTATTCTTGGCATGGTGTGGGCTGGCTTTGCTATGATCATTGTGGCTTCATACACTGCCAACCTGGCAGCCTTCCTGGTGTTAGACCGGCCTGAGGAGAGAATCACGGGCATTAACGACCCCCGGGTAATGACCCCTCATTTGCTTTCCCCTCTCCTGTCCTGCACCCAGAGATGCAGGATACACCTCCAGGGGGTATCTCCTGGCTCATATAATGTGGCTTGGAGTACTCAGAGCCCTGCTTTAACGTGGCTGCTCTGTGCCAGGGGGTCGAGCCTTGGGTAGCTCTGCCTGGGGCAGTTGCTGGTGGGTCTGAGCCCCTGCGTTGGGTGGGAATGGACAGACATGAGGAGGGATCAGAAGGAAAAAAACTTGTCCAGAAATAGCACGTACCCAGGCAAAGTGCCTGCCAGTTCCTGGAGAGCCTGCACTAACCAACGAGGAAACGATTCATTATGGATGAGTTATAACTAATGAAATTGTCCCTGCGGTGCAGTCAATACTCTCAGCAGACACCAGCATGCCTCAAACCCATTTCCTGTTCTGGCAAGGACACAGCCACAGCTTATCAGCCCAGGCATGCAGGAATGTACCCCACAGCAGCGCTGACCCACAGCATCCCACACCCTACTGCGTCCCCTGCCCATGGCACTGCCAGCCCCATGGCATCCACAGGCCTCCCGCATCCTCAGTGCCACGATATCCATGTCCCATAGCATCCCCTGCCCCACCACCACGGTTCCAGAGCATCCGCTGCCCCATGGCATCTTCAGCTGTGCTGAGGACATCAAGATCTTCTCCGGGAAACAGGTCCCTGAAGGAGATGGGAAATTAGGAAACACAGCTTTGGAGTGAGCCAGTTTGGTTGTTGAAGGACAGAGTAAATAGGAGCCCTGCCCTTGCCTTTCAGCTGCGCAACCCCTCTGATAAGTTCATCTACGCCACGGTGAAGCAGAGCTCAGTGGACATCTACTTCCGACGGCAGGTGGAGCTGAGCACCATGTACCGGCACATGGAGAAGCACAACTACGAGAGCGCGGCTGAAGCCATCCAGGCAGTGAGGGACAAGTGAGTGGGGCCAGCACCCTGCCTGGCCATGCTGGGGGGCTGCAGTTCAGTGGAGCCAGCAGGGCTGATGCAAACCTGGAGGGAGCCGTGGTCAAAGCACGGTTTGATGGGTCTTGCCCCGTTGGTGCTGGGTGGGATCTTCCTAGTCCTAGTGCGTACCAGGTCTCTGGATGGAGACCACAAGGTCTGTGTGGGGAAAGGCACAGCCAGAGCCCTGGCTCTGGCCACGGCCTCCCTTTCTGGCCTCTGCGCTTGCTTCTGTGCAAGGCTGGGTGGCTTCAAATCCCATGTAAACCCCTCACACTCCTCCTCCAAAGTTTTGCCAAGCCTTTTGCTTCCCAGCAGCACAGACCCTGCTGGGAGGTGGGTGATGCGAGTCAGTGCTTAAATTAGGGCTGAGAGCACCCTCACTGCTCCCACAATGGCTGCAGACCAGCTGGGCTGCCCAACCTTACCTGTCTGTCCTCTCTCTGTGTCCAGCAAGCTCCACGCCTTCATCTGGGACTCGGCGGTGCTGGAGTTCGAAGCCTCCCAGAAGTGTGACCTGGTGACAACAGGGGAGCTTTTCTTCCGCTCCGGCTTCGGGATCGGGATGCGCAAGGACAGCCCATGGAAGCAGAACGTCTCCCTGGCCATCCTCAAGTCCGTACACAGCTCTTGGCATGGGGATTGCCCTGAATGCTGCATGTGTTAGCACGCAAGTGCCAGGCACTGCCACTCTGCCCCGCAAGCACTCGGCAGGGGCAGGGGCTCTGGGGGCTGCCATGTCACCCCTGAGGAAGGGGATGTGCCTGAGACCAGAGTGGGCACCCACAGCCCCAGCTCTGGCTCACAGGGCTGGGGAAGCGGCGTGGAGCTGGTGGGAGGGCAGAGCAGAGCAGGGCAGGGAGCAGGAGCCGTGCTCGGCCGCAGGAGCACAGGCAAGGCTGGCAGAGAGCAGCCCTGGGGCCACCCAGCAGCAGGTCCTTGTGAGCGGGGCGCAGGCTGCCTGGGGTGCTGCCATTTCCCCACCTCTCCCTGCGAGCTCAGCCCGGCCAACAGCCTTGCACTGCCCTGGCCTGATCTTCCAGGGGTTTTTCTTTCAAGTCTGGCCGTTCCTGTTAGGCAGAGATAGGTCAGGACCCCTGCTGAGTCCAACTAAGGCTTTTACACCAGCGTTAGCCTGCGGCGTGGGGTGCCACGAGTCAGTCTGATATTCTGGGTTGAGAGGGATTTCCTTGCATTGGGTCAGAAACGTCACACTCGTTGCAGACAGAGGAATGTGGTGATGGCTGCTGGGAAGCTGCAAGTGGAGGGAGGGGAAAATGTGAGATTAATTTTACGGAGAGACCAGGGTCCTGCCCAAGATGTGGAGGTGAAAGGCCTGAGAGAGAGGATGGGAGGGGTGTGGAAGACAGAGGCAGGACCCAGAACC